GAAAAGTTGGGTCACACAAAGAACGGTTGTCCAGAACTCAAGGAGGATTTGCAGATCTTAAAGGAGAAGAAGGGCAAATCAAAGGAAGCTTCTTCCGCAAATGTGATCACTTATGAAGATGATCTCTTCTGAAGATAAGAGTACTACTCGACAGAAGATTCTGCAGGATGGGAGTATCGCTGTAGAAATCGCAAATGATGTAGGACTTTGAATTAAGGGGAGATTTGTTGAGTGTTACTTCAAAGTCCCACATCGGTGGGATAGGAAAATTGAGAAGGGATGGGAGCCTATAAATAGAGAGGGTGTATAGGCTTCCAACACACAACACAATCCTTCAATCTATATAATTGTGTATTAGATTTTAGGTTGTGAGTGTCAAATATTGGAGAGGGTTTGTAATTTTTCCGTGCAAAAATTACTAGTGAGATTTTATCCCAGAGGGGGTCGTGGAGTAGGTCTTGAGGTGCCGAACCACGTTAAATATTTTGTGTTCTCTTTTTCTTTCCTTTCTATTTGTTTGCAGTAGGGGCCTAACAGCAAGTCAGTTGGCTTTTTTTATCATTGCACAAATCAACCATTTACAACCAAATCCATTGAAATCTCTAGCACTATGTTTGGTTCAAGGATTTTTGAAGAAAAAGAAAAGAAAATGATTTTCTCTCATTTTCCTCACCAAAATGGGAGGAATTTGGTTTTCCCTCAACTTAGAACATATGTCTTCTCATTTTCTTTTCCTCCAACTTTTCCTCTCCAATCAAACATAGAAAAACTATTTTCCCCTTCATTTTCTTTTCTTTTCCCTTTCAAATTCTTTGAACCAAACATAGTTTAGATGTTTTCATCATAAATTTGTAAAATGAATTTTCTTGAGAAAAATAACCTCAAAATCCATCAAAATCCAAACATAATAAAAATCTTTTAAAATCTATAGATTATTTACTACCATTAGATTTTAGCAGACATTTTAAAATCTAAATTGAATACTTTCAGATTTTAAATGATTTTTTAAAATCTAGATTGAATACTCTCAGATTTTAAATGACTTTTTAAAATCTCAATTTAATACTCACTAATTTTTAAAATCCAAAAAACTCTTACAGATTCTTGATTGAATACACCTCTTAGTGTATTGTCCTCTTCCGCTAGCATTGTTGTCTTATAAATTGAAAAAGGACCATGCTACACTTACTCCAAAAAATGTACCCCAATTGTACACCACAGTTATGTACAAACATTTTGATGGTTTACACCAACACAAGTGTGGGTGCGTCAACAAAAATTTACACAAACACAAATGTTAGTGCGTTAACAAAAATTAGTTTTACACCAACACAAAATGTTGGTGCAAAATTACGGGGTACAAATTGGGGTATAAATGTTGGGGTACACATAGCTTAATCATCGAAAGGACCATGCATGTTACATTTACACAAAAAAATGTACCCCAATTGTACACCAGAGTTATGCGCAATGGTTCTCAACAAAAATTTACAGTCCAAAGCTTCCACACGTGCAGGACAATGCAGTCAACGTTAGTCCTTAACCTCGCAGTATCTTGACCCGCTCCAGTCTTGGATTGTTCAAAGAATTGTTGTTCAAAATCTTCCTTCACCATCTCTCAAAATTTATCTGATCTTGTGCCCAGATCCTACTCTCATACCTAATTCCGACAATCGCATGAAATTTTCCGGAGCTAATCACTTCTCATGAGTTCTTCCGAGCCCGACGAGAACAGTGAGGAAGAGGAGACTCCTAATTTCCCATTGTCCCGTAGCTGTTTGGGGCGTGTACTGTTTCCCCTAGGATTCCTTTTTCTTCCTATTCTCGTGCTTTGTTCTGCTGTTTATATCGATAATTTACCGATTCGGAACCCTATTTCGCTCCACTCTCGGTGCAGAATCGTTTCGAGCAGTAAGTGAACTAACCATTTTGTGGTCTGTTTGGAAGGAGTCGTTGGCGCCCTGAGTGAGTAGTCTGAACGGAAGCACAGATTTGTGTTGGGGTGTGTTGATGAGCTTATATTGTCTGCTTCCATTTTCTTTTGATTCTAACTGTGGGGGTGTTCTGATGTGCTATAAAGAAAATCGTTCTATACGAGCACACATTTGCATTGTAATTTTATTCTGATTCATAAGGGATTGTTTCGTGCTAAGAATTATTGAAGCTTTGTTACGGTACATGATAACAAGTTGTGCTCACTATTCTTTCCCAGTTTATGGAAAGATGTAAATTTGTTTGGAGTTGATAATTTTGTAGGGGTCGCATCAACTATGCTGCACTTTCTTATCCTCATCATGTTAGTGAAAGAACATCGTGATTAGGCTTATAGGCAGGCGGCAGCTTTTATTTTCTGTTCACCTGGGGGTTTTCTTTCCAATTTTATCTGGCAATTCTATGAATCTGTTTAGTTTCAGAACAATGGGTTGCACATAGTTAGTTAGACAATGATTGAGTTATGACTTTTCGGTCTGCTACTCTGCTCTAGATCGTAAGGGGATTACCTTTATCATAGCCGCATAGGGGTAGTACGGCGTAGTGCAGGTGTACTTTTTGAATCCTCATATAGCTAGATGGGATCTAACACTCTTAGACTCAATAAAGAATTCAAAGTAGCTTGCAGTCATGCATAAGTCGCCAGATGCAAGTCTAGATGATTTATTCTTAGCAGTTGATGTATCATATTTTAAAACATGAGAAGTACCAATCAAAAATTTTCTGCAGGTGTGGACCTTAGGTCATCTAAAGTATGTGAACTGGGACTGTTGAATTACAAAGCTAAAAATGTACTTTACCCGCACGAAAGAAAGAAGTTTCGATGTCGTTATGATTACTACTGGGCATCTGTATTTAAGGTGGTCATCACTAAATTTCTATAGCATGTAATATTGTTTTGTAGTCTACACTACTTTCATCTTAATTCTTCTGAATAAGTTAGTACATTTGGCCATATGTTATGTGAACATTGGGTTGGTTATATGCTTCATGATTAGTTTATAGCTCCTTAGTCATTTTTTTAAAGGAAAATATTGATCTCCTTAGTCATTAGAAAATGAAACAGCATAGTTGTGTTTTAGGTAATAGTCACTGCCTGAAAATGCTCTCTTTTACTACATACTTGATTCTTTTTATGACTAATGCTGCCATCGGGTCAAATATGAGTATATGACCCTGGAGAACGAAACCAAGAGTCTAGAGTTGGGAAATTTTTTGAGAGTCTTCTTGACCATCCAAGAGGATCAACGCATATGATGATAGGACACTGGATCACATTTTCGGATTTTGGGAAAATCCATCCCTTCCAAAAGTGGAAAGGAAATTAATACAATAATTTATGTTGTGTGTATGTTATTGTTGTCCTTGTTAATAAGGACATGAGGGTGTTGCTAATTCAGTACAGATACTTGTTTTTATATTTGATATATGTTGAATGACATAAAAAATGTGCCATGACTTTAAGACTCATCCATTCTGCATTTTGTTCTGTCCTTATACTTTTGTATAGAAATTTGCAGATCTTCTGAGCTTAAAGTAATGTGTACACAACTGTTTTGTAATAACAAAAAAACAGGTTGAATATGTAGATCATTCAGGTCAGTCACGGCTAGCTTTCGCAGAAGCTCCTAGTGAAGCACTTCCCTCTGAATGTAGACCCAATTTTGTTACTGCTTGGCTGACTAAAGATAGATTCAAGGTAGAGTTTGGGCATTCAATTTGAGGGTAAATTAAGAAAAAACCATAATTGTGCATGTATCTTAATTAATTAATTAAAGATAGTTGTTTATTTGTGTTTAATGACATTTATATTCTCAATGCCCATTTCTCCAGGTGAACGAAACTTACAAATGCCAGTACACATTGGGAATTTCTATGGTCACCATATATGAAGATGGCCTTTTCAATTGCCAAGCTAAATATGCATCCACTGTTGAGATGTCCATTCGATATATGATCCTGTGAGTATTGAAGAACGAACTTTTATTCCTTCTCTCTTACAGCATAAAGAAGAAGTTTTTTAAATTTTACTCTGTAATTTTTTTGTTCCCTATCTATGCACTATAAAAGCACAATAGCAAAACTATTTACTGTCTTCAGTCATCCATAGTTGTTTAAGGCGCGATTAGAATTTTGTTCTTCTTCCAGCCTAAACTTTGTTCTTCTTCCATACTGAAAGGGTATGAATGGGAAGAAACGAAGCTGCCTGGAAAAAAAAAACAGGGCAGCATTACGATTAAAAAAACTGAAGTGATTGAAGAAACAAAAAAACCTGAGAAGCAATTAGCCTTCTATGAATGGGAAGAAAAAAACAGGGAAGCCTCGCTATTTTAAACAATCTGAGAAAAAAATATGAGAAGCGAAAACCCTGAAGATGCAGAGTCAAATAGAGACGAGAAGCAAAGTCTAAGTAGAGATCGGGAAGAGTGGGATTGAGAAAAGTGAAGCAACCCTAATCTCAAAGCTAAAAAACTTTAAAAAAATTAAAAAAATCTTGTTTGTGGTGTGTGCCCAGTTGCTCCATAGATCTCCTTGCATAATGTGATGATGCACAGCTATGCGTGCCCCCTTACTTCGTGCGAATCGTTCCTCACGCGGGCTTTACAGAATATGCAGCAATGTATACCTATTTCCATTACTTTTGATATTAAGGAATAGATGTTTGGTTATTTATCACTGCTTCATCTTCTTGCAGCTAAAACTTGAACCTAATGTGAAAATGGAATATGTTGTGATCTGATTCCCAAATCTGTTTACCCGTGAGTTCATAAAATGACTGTTTCTCCGTTTTTCCCTTTATCAAACACATTTGGATTAAACTTTGCTTACTAGTTAAAGTGTTACGGGCATAGGGGGGGGGATAGGGCTGGTTCGTCCTTGAGAGAGTCTACGTAGGAAGAGTGTGGTTCGTGGCGGAAGCCCTAGAGAAGCTTGACCTTGTTAAAGTCTATTAAATTAGATTCACAAAAGTGGAGTATGCTTTATTTTTGATTGGATTCGTTTACAACCCTAATCCCACGATGCACTTCTGATATAAATAATTGCATTGTAATGTGGTTCATATCAGTTATCCTGACTTAACTCCAAAATGACTGTCCATTTTCATTATATTTGGCCAAAATTTTAAAAAATTCTCAACCATAACTTGTGACTCAGGCATCATGATTTAGACTATCAAAGTGGAGTAAAGAAGGTTATCTAGATATGCATGCCACAATCACCCAATTTCACTTTCCTAATATGTGTGCCACAATCACACAATTTCACTTTCTTAATATGCGTACCTAGTCAACTTTGAAATTTAATTTTAGGGTGGAGGGAGTAAACCTTCTAACGACACTAGAGTCACTCAAATTTAATCCCCGATTAAAAAATTGTGGTTAAAATATGATTTTCTTTTTACTTTTGGCAGCATATAAAAGAATCTCACGAAGATGGAGAGTTATTACAGAGTTATGGTCAGGAGTAATGGTGTTAACCACATTAAAGCTTGGGATTTTTTATGTTAGAAGTGCATCCTGAGATTTTTTTGTTTGATCATTCTAATGTGGGATTCTTTTTATCAATTTTGCCATAATAATAAGAAACTAATGGCCATTTCACTAAATAAAATACTTATAACTAATCATGTGCCTGTATCATAAATTTCCTTTAAAACCAAATAGATTCATTTCCGAAAGATGCTGACAATAGGTTCTTCCTGAATTGAAAATTTGTGCCACTGTTAGAGGCACGTCAAGGCGGGTATACGCTTAAAAATATACCTCTATGTGCACACAGATCAGATTGACTTAGGAAGTGAAAAAATTTATTCAAGTTGGCAGTTTATTGTACACCCCAACTTATGGTACTTTACCATACCAAGGGCCTGAATTAAAGCCCTTCGTAAAAACAGTTAAAAATGCAAGAATTAAATGAACACTAGATAAAGTTGCTGACAGCAATTTGTTCAACATTCTAAGTACAAAAATTAAAGCCTGAGGCATACATATGGATAAACCTTAGCTGAATATTGATTTCAGAATAGGAGACTACAATTTTCTCACATGTAGGGCCACACAACAGACTCCACATGGCTTTCACAAACTTCTTACAGTTGTCTTCATGGAGCCGTGAATCAATCATTGAATTGTGTTTATGACATTCACAAACTTTTTTTTTATTTTTGTTTATTTTCTTGTGTTGCTATCTCTCTCCTCTCATGTCTAGTGAACACGTTCATATGATTATACTTAGGAATTGAAGTCTAGTCTCCAGTTCTTCATGAGGTTACCATGTTGAACTACTCCCTCTGTCCCGGTCTCTTTGTCCACTTTCTTTTTGGAACAAATACCAAGGTGAGGGAATAATAAAAGTAAAATGTCACATTTACCCCTCCTGATATTTTCTTTGACTAGCTACCTTCTTCTTATCTCTCTGCCGCACACCTGCCTTCCACCATCACACCCCCATCTCTGATGCATAACACCATCCATCTGCTGCCGTGCCGCCTCACCAGCATCATTCTCTATAACCTTCCTTCCCCAACTCCATCGCCGCCAATCTTCCCAACAACATGCATCTCCCGTTCAGCCTCCCACCCCATATTCCCATCGGTGTTGGCAGTCCATCCCAATATCCCATATTCCCATCAGAATAGAAATGGGTGATTGCTTCTTCGGGTCTAGCTCTAGAACCATGGCTGCAACATTTGTGATGTTGTATTCTCATTCCTCTCTTGAATTTTAGATTTAAAAGTGAAATCGATGAAGAAAATCTAATACATTTGAGAAGGACTTCTTCGGGTCTAGCTCTAGAACCATGGCTGCAACATTTGTGATGTTGTGTTCTCATTCCTCTCTTGAATTTTAGATTCAAAAGTGAAATCAATGATGAAAATCGAATACATTTGAGAAGGATGGTGGGTGTGTTCCCAAATCTAGATCTAGGATCACCAAAATAAATCTAGATCTAAGATTAAGGATGAACCGTGAGGGGGGGGGGGAGAGAAAGTCGTAATAGAAAGGTAATTGGATTGGTTGGATTGAGTAGTTGGAGGGTAAAATAGGTATTACACTTTTTTTTATTTTACCATAAAAGAAAAGTGGACAAATACACGAGTCAAATCTCATTAAAAGACTGATATCTTTGCATATATTCAGAATCCAAAAATAAAGCTTTTTTCAAACCAGAATATATTAAATCACAAAAATAAACTCACTCTGTCGGAAAGTATTCATCTAATTTAAAATTTTCATTGATCGGAAAAACTTTGAGCATCAATTAAATTAAAGTTGCATTGCATCTTCATACAAATTTTTTTAAAATTGTTTTGCGAGATAGTTCTAATGAGTTTTTGTATTAATATGCAATGCAAGTTTTATTTAATTGATGATCACAATCATATGTGACTGGAAAAAGTCAAATTAGACTCACGCTCTACAACGGAGGAAGTACTACATGGGAATCATAATAATTATTTGACCATTTTTATAGAAATTGGTAATTAGTATTTTTTTCAAATAGGCCAATAAGCACATGAGACGTGACAACAATGTTAACACGATTTTCTCACTACTTGATGGCAAACTGTTAGGGTATGAATGTTTTCCTCTTCTCTAGAAAATGAATGACAAAACATGTAAGTGGTCAACGGTCATGCCTATGGACTTGGAGGGAGTTTGGGAAAAAAAGCCATCATCCTGTCCCGTGTTTTTTTCTGCATATAATCTACATGATTATCAAGACTAGGTCCTCTTTGATCATGACCCTTGATTGGTATTTGAAATTTATGATCATGCGTGTGATTAGAGCGGAATTTGTCCTCTGAGAAGTGTATGTCACTAACAAAATCAACCTCTCTGTTTTTTATAGGGGTAAGGTTGCACACATCTTGGCTCCCTGACCCCAACGAAGTTGGGAATATATACTCGATTTCTTCTTCTTCTTCTTCTTCTTCTTGTTATTGTTGTTGAGGTGTATCAGTGTATGTGACTAGAGGTGTGTTTATATGTGACAGGTTCAGGAGGATATTAAAATCTGTATTTGCCAGTTCAAATTTACCAAGTGCCTTGATATGGGTTGTGGCTGGGCTGCTCTCTGGGTTCTTTTCCTCGTATGTTATCATATCCTTGGCGAGACTTGTGTCGAAATTCAGGACTATCTCTAGCCAACTCTCCATGGCTGGCTGGCTAAATCGATGTAATGCAGTCCGTTTAAAGAGAGTTTGTTTGTTTTTAGCATATGTGTCCTTTTCAAGCTGGTTGGCCATTCAATACCTAAAAAGAATAGGTCTCCCTGATGCTATAGTTTACAGTAGGTGATATGAGTATAGTAGGAATCATTCGTTTATAGATGCGCCAGTATTTGTGTAGCAGTTGTGCGCTTTACACATTCATTAGTAAAATCCATGTTCATTATTGCATCGTTTGTATTCCTTGGTGGACAGGTTTTGAGCCTCTGAGTTGTGTGTTCTGTGGATTGTAGCAGCAGAAGTAAGCCAGATAGGTTTGTAGTGAGTGGGATTATATTCTTAGGGCATCTCCTCTGGTGCGGCAAATGTTAATATTTGCAGTTAACATTCCTCCAAAAGAGTACTTCATATCCTAACCCCGGTGGCTAACAACTTCGAAGTTGGCTAGCGTGCCAAGGTAATCTGTTATGGTAACAAAAAAAAAGAAAAAAGAAAAAGAAAAACTCTTTTGTTTCTGGTAATCTAGTGAGGAAGATCTGTGAGGAAGATTTGTCATTTTTAAAAAATGCCCCACTCTACTCTCTCAAGTTTTATATGAAAGTACTTTAAAATCTTTGGTGGTGATTAGAGGTTTCTTAGTAAAATATTTTCATTTAAAAAATAACCAAGAAGTCAATCCGAATCCATGCATAATAAAAGGAAAAGACCTCGGAGCAAAACATGCATCGTATTCCTAAAGTAAAACTTTAAACTTAAACTTCTCTAAATAGGACTTAAATTATTAAAATCAAATTTAAACTTCTCTAAATAGGACTTAAATTATTAAAATGTAAAAATTTTGCCACGCGCTTCATTCTCATGCCAAATCTCTTCTTTTCTTCACCTAGTCCATCTTCAATTGGCTCGAGACGCCAATCTCTTTCATGCGCCCACCCCTTTTTCAATCCATCGTCGCAGCCGTGCAACCCAATACCTTCTTCTTCTTCTTATTCAATCCACCTCAATCGTCGCCGCCGAATCACAGTGTTATCATTGTTGTTGCTATGCATCCCCACCCATCTTAAATTCGACGTTGCTTGCTTAGTGTCGATCTCCTTTCCACCACCTTCCCCTTTCTTCAATCTATTACATTCGCCGCCGTTGCCACCCAATCGCAATGCCATCGCCACTGCTGCCATGCAACCCTACGCCTCTCGGATTCATCGCTGCACCGATGCCTAGTTGTTGCACCTCTATCTTATTCCCTCAAAGCTTGCTTTCAAAAGTGAGTGAATTCTCTCTTGATCTTCAGTTGTATTTTATTTTCTTTCAATTTTGTTGTCAAAAAGTCATGCAGGGCATTGGGTTTGGTTGGACATTATACCTTTGTGTGACGATATGAATTCACATTATTGTGGCATTATATATGTGTATTTGTGGCATTATATAATGTCACGTGTGACATTGTGTGGTGCCATGTTTGCCATTATATCTTTCTTTGACACTATATTCACAGTTAATGTGATGCTGCAAATTATGGTTGTAGTGTGGGCGAAAATGGAAGAAAGTTGTGATGTCGGTGAAAAATCAAAAGACAATGGTGGGTTTTGACAGCAGCGGTGCTACGGCGGCAGAGTAGGGCATGGCGACGGTGGAGATTCAAGTGATAGTGGCAGGGACACGGCATCAGCGGCGGCTGGTAGCGTCGACAACAAGCTGTGGTGGAGCGCCATTGCTAAAGTGTTTTTTTAGTTTTGGAACTGGTGTTTGAGCAAAAGGTGCGACGCGTAGGGATTGAGCCGTGCAAGAATTGTGAATATGAGTTGTGCAGTAATAAATTTGCTTTAAGAGTAAGTGCGATTATAACACCCTAATCCGTTCAGGTCTGCAGCACCTTTCAGACTTAAGTATAAACATGGTATTCCTAAACATTCAAAATATTTCAAACATTTCAAATATTTTTAAACTTTATTTCATAATAATTTTTTTGAATAGTAATAGATTATTTAAAGTTGTAGAGGCTTAAACAAATCACAACTACAAAACATAATTAATTTATTTCTCTTAGAAATAGTAATTCAAACATCCATATAAATTGAATCTCAATTCATAATCAAATGATTTGATATCATGCACATAATATTCAGTTAATGGAGTCAACATTCAATAAACTGTTACCGGCGAGGAGATTTCGTAGGGAAGAAGGAAATCTCGTAGCTAATAACAGAAAGGAGAGAGAAAGAGAATTCGCTGGAAAGGGGATTAGAATGAAAAATATCTCTTATTATTATTATTATTCCAGATGTTGAACCACTATTTATAGAGTTGCCCCACAAGGTTACACATAGGATAATAGCATACTTAAACAAAAATAGAAATAGAAAATATAGCTAAGGACTGCATCATTTCATCCCCCTTGACTAGAGCTTTGTCCTCAAAGCTGGAAGTCTGGAAATCTCTGCTGGAAGGACTCGGACCACTCCCAAGTAGCTTCAGTTTCTGGTACTCCAAGCCATTTGACCAAGAATTGCACCCCAGCCCTATTTGCCTTTTTTTGAATTCTCCTGGACAGAATGGCCTCTAGTGTGGGGTAACTATGGTTATTAGTATTGTGGAACCAGTAGGGAATATGTGGTACAGCTGGTATATCTCCCCTGAATTGTTTGAGCTAGGAGACATGAAATACTGGGTGCACCTTGGCATCAGTGGGCAGCTGCAATTTGTAGGCCACCTTGCCTACTTGGACAAGATTTGGAAGGGTCCAAAGTATTTAGGACTCAGCTTCTCGTTAGATCTCTGTTGAACACTGCTTTGCCTGTAGGGCTGGAGCTTCAACCATACCCAATCTCCTAGGTTGAAAACCCTCTAAGACCTGTGCTTATTGGCTAACTGTTGCATCCTGTTCTGTGCCCTCTGTAGTTGGTGTTGTAGTTGCTTGATCATGGCTTCCCTCTTCTGTAAAGATCTGTCCACTGCTTCCACAGCTGTTTCTCCAGGTAAATGCAGATGGATAGGTGGGGGCTGACAATACACAGCTTCATAAGGAGTCATCTGTATCGAAGAGTGAAAGGTAGTGTTGTACCACCATTCCGCTAGAGGAATCCACTTGCACCATTCTCCTGGATTGTGGGAGCATATACACCTTAGATAAGTTTCCAAGCATCTGTTAACCACTTCAGTTTGCCCATCTGTTTGGGGATGATAGGCAGTAGACATCAAAAAGTCAACTCCATGGATGGTGAATAAAGCCTGCCAGGATTGGCTCAAAAAGACAGTATCTCTGTCACTCACTATGGTGTTTGGCATTCCATGTAGCTTGAACACATTGTCCAAATAACTCTGAGCAACTTCCAATGCAGTATAGGGGTGAGATAAGACCATAAAATGGGCATACTTACTCATCCTGTCCATCACGACAAAGATAACATCCTTGCCCATGGACTTTGGTAATCCTTCAATAAAATCCATGGACACATCTTTCCATACTTCTGTGGGAATTTGCAGAGGCTGCAATAATCCTGGATATGCCGAGTTATCATACTTACACGCTTGGCAAGTTAGACACATTCTCACAAATTGTGAGACATCTTTATTCATTCCCTTCCAGTAAAACATGGCTTTAAGCCTCTTCAGGGTGGCTTCTCTTCCTGAATGACCTGCTACAAGTGAGGAATGGCTCCATTTCAGCAGTTTGTCCCTGAGAGTATCACTAGGACCTACCACCAACTTTCCTTTTCGCCTCAACAGGTCCCCCACCAAGGAATAGTGTTCCACAAATTGATTTCGTTGCAAGGATTGAAGACAGCTCATAATTGTGGAATCAAGTGCCCAACTATTTTTAATGTCCTGTAATAGTGTAGTGTCAATAGAAGATAGTGCCAAACATAAAATTTCCGCCCCCGATTGCCTGGAAAGAGCGTCAGCAGCTAGATTCTCCTTTCCCTTTTTATATTGGATGTCATAGCTATAGCCCATGAGTTTAGATAACCAGACTTGTTGAAATGGAGTGGAGATTTTGCTTTCTAATAGCCACTTAAGACTTTTGTGGTCAGTCTTAATAGTGAAAGGCTGGTGAATTAGGTACTGTTCCCATTTTTGTACAGCAAACACCACAGCTAACAACTCCTTTTCATAGACTGATAGTGCCTACCACCTGGGTCCCAATGATCTGCTAATATAGGCTATGGGATGTTGATTCTGCATCAAGACAACCCTAATTCCCTCTTGTGATGCATCAGTTTCTACAAAAAAAGGGCTTGAAAAGTCAGGTAGAGCCAATATAGGGGCACAACAGAGTGCTTCCTTCAATTTCTGGAATGACCTGTCCGCTTCGTCAGACCACTGGAAAGCTCCTTTCTTCAATAATTCTGTGAGAGGTTTGCTGATACTTGCATAGTTTTTGACAAATTTCCTATAATATCCTGCCAGTCCTAGGAAGCTCCTCAACTCCTTGACATTGCTAGGGATCTTCCAATTTTTGACAGCTGTTACTTTGTTGGGATCAGTAGACACTCCTTGGGCAGATATATAGTGTCCCAAATATTCCACTTTCAGCACTCCAAAAGCACACTTACTCCTTTTTGCCAATAATTGGTTTTGCCTCATAGTGTTGAACACTTCCCTGAGATGGATGTAGTGAAGTTCCCAAGTTGGACTATAAATGAGTATGTCATCAAAGAACACCAATACAAACTTCTTGAGTTGGTTCTTGAACACAGCATTCATCAGGCCTTGGAAAGTAGTAGGAGCATTAGTAAGACCAAACGACATTACTAAGAACTCATAATGGCCATGGTGAGTTCTAAATGCTGTTTTATAAACATCCTTCTCTAACACCCTTATTTGGTGATAACCAGCTCTCAAATCAATCTTGCTGAACACTGTTGCCCTTGCCAACTCATCAATCAATTCTTCCACAATTGGAATAGGGAATTTATGCTTCACAGTCTGTTTGTTAAATTCCCTATAGTCCACGCAGAGTCTCCAACTACCATCCTTCTTCCCAACCAACACTACGGGTGAGGCATAAGGGCTGCCACTATCTTGGACTATGCCTCTTTGCTTCATTTCCTCCACAATCTGTTCAATTATATCCTTTTGTCTGACAGGGTATCTGTAAGGTCCGATGTTCACAGGATTAGTGTTTGGTTGCAATGGTATTGCATGATCAAATATCCCTCTGGGTGGGGGTAACCCTTTAGGTTCCTGGAACAAGTCATGGTATTCTTCCAATAACTCCTAAAGTTG